TTATGCCCATGTTGATGCAATTTCTGTTTAGCAGTGGTCTTTCTAGTACCACCTCGATGGGCCTTATTTGACTGTTGTGTTCCGTCCATTACAAACCTTCTATTATTAATGAACACCTAGACTAGAAAAGTGATCAGAATCCAATATATACAAGTATAAGTAACCTAAAGTGAACAAAATGCAATAGGTGAATTTATGTTAAGGCCTCATCGTTTTTCAGCTGCTGCTTAAAAAAAAAAATTTGATGCTCTTTCCTCGGAAGTCAGGTGATGGATGGTCGGAATTAGAATAATCAATTACCGCAAAAACTACTTCTACGATTGCAATTGTCTTCACCCATTTTTTTATTACAATCAACCAATGTTCAGGTTATTGTATATTGTATTCCTTTCTATTGAAATAATAAGGGCTAGTTGGTATTTTAAAGAACCTAAAATTTGTAATCCAAAACAGAATGGACTTTATCCTTTTACAGGCTTCAAAATATATCGGCAGTACAAGATAGAAGGTTATCTTCCCACTTCCCTACATTTTCTCTCTATTACACATTGTGATCACGGTAAACCAGACTATGAAAAACAAGTTTTGACTACATCCAGTATTGATATAGATTGGAACAAACCATTTTGTATTTTGAAACCAGATTTCGGGGATAGGTTACCTCCAAAGCCAACGGATAAGGTGTACAATTTATACCAGAATAATAACAATATATCGGAAAACAATATTATATTGGGTAATATGTCTGCAGAAAAGCCTTTGGAAGGGGCGAGTGTATCGTTAAAATCCAAAATATCTGAAGTTGGAAAACATTTAAACAACTTGTTAGAAACATCTGTTGATAATATCTTGGAAAAGGTTATTAATGGCAAGCATGTTCAGTATACAAGTAAAAAAGCCGCAGAGCATGTTGAAGATATCCGTAATTCTGATCCACGCTCCTCTTTAGAGTGGGAGTCAAGGAACTTGGTATGCTATAAAATGGCCCGCAGAAAGAAGTATGCAAAACGAAATATTCTTTTCTACATCCCGTACACGTTTGTTGGTGGATTATTTGAATGTCCCATTCCTGACAATAGGAAAAAGGAGATATTTCATGCATTTCAATCTGGAGATTTCTTGAAGAACTTTGATTTTAAATGCGATCATTCGCTAGCTAAGCCAGTTGCGCCATTGGTTGCACAAGACAGCACTAAGCAGTGGATCGATACAAAGTTTAATCCGTTAAACCCCGTATTAATTCAAAGGATTCCTTATCTATCAACGGCCTCGGTATTTGACGTAAGGTTTTCAACTAGTGATACGCCAGATATGCTTCAAGATACCTGGGCAAGTCAAATAGACGTCAATGAGGAATATTCCTATACGGGTCTCGAGTTGAACGTAATCTCGCAAGCTATCGCTCTATCTGCTGATTATTTTCATAGAACGTTTCGACCTTTGGATCTATCTGGAGTATTTCATGACTTGGTTCTTTTGAGATCTTCCAACGGTATGCAGAATTCACATGTAGCGATTCGAACTTTTATCCTAAGCACATTTAAAAAGTTGTCTCTCGATCAGAAAATAAACATATTGTTGTCTTCAAGAAAAGCTGAAGAATCAATGCTTCATTTACATAAATTACAAAGAACGTGGGATAACCTAGTTACTTAGATCATCTAGAATATAGTAATTTCATAGATATAAGTATTAATATTTATGCATAATAAACAGTGCTTCATATCTTAATAGTAAAATATAGACTTACAAAATAGAATAAAATAAAATAGTGTACAATTAAAGTTTAAAACGTTCTTTAAAGAATATCCTTAGCATCTGTTGGTTGATTATTCGAATATGATGAAAATCCCCCAGCTGATATATTCGAATCATGTCTATGGTGTTGGTTAATTGGGGTAGTAGAAGTATCCTTTGGGAATGAAAGCGGCTTAGTGTTTATGACGTCCTTTTCCTCATCTGCATAATTTTCTTGATTATCATCTAATAAAGTGTCACTGATTCTGGTGATTTTACTATTTTTAGTATTCTTTTTATCAGCGGTATCGCCATTTGCACCCTTATTACCTTTAAATGATAAGCCCCTAGATAATTTACCTTTCAACTTCGAACCTAAAGTCAGAGGTTGATTGTCAACTTCATCAGAGTTTTCGCTATAATTTACTTCATTTGTTTCGAACTTTTCTTGCTCGAGTGATGGAGTTAAATGATTTTTCTGGTCATTAGATGATGATGAAATATTGTTCAATTTATACATTTCAGACTCCCAATTATTTGAATGATCTTGTGCTGCCAATCCTAATGCCAATAATTCATTCGCACCTTGACTATCTTGCTTATTATTATAAGATCTGTGTTTCACAGAACTCATTCTTTGGAATGAGGTTCTGTCATCTTTAGCCGGAGCAAACCTTGCATCAGGATTTTTCGAAATTAAAATGAAAGCAATGAAAGCAATAATCATAATTAATAGGCAAAATGAGAAAGCAGCATTTAAGATAAAGAATACCCAACCCATGATAGATGCCACAGGTGCAGGTTGACCAAACAAGTCTGAGAAAAACAAGAACAAGAACGAATTGACTGTCGTCACAACTGACATAAGATAATTAAGAATGTTTGTAGGTTTGTTCAAGTATGGTGCCTGTATAATTAAGTAAATGGTATAAGCCAAGTCAAAAATAAAAATTGCCAAGGCTGATGCTTTACCAGAATACTGACACAAGCCAATAAATATACCTTTCAACAAATTATACCCAATTAAAACGATACCAAACCAGTATTTTTCAGCCTGGAACATAGTATAACAAAATCCATATTTATTCAAGACCTTTGAGTCCCCATATAATACAGCTGCGGGGTTATTATATTCTTTAATAGACTTTCTGCCTAACCTCACAACTTTCCAATAAGAATATCCTATAACACCAAGAACCAAGATTAACAGTAGTACGGCCAAAACAATAAGTGCCGGAGAATCATTCTGCGTGAACTCCCATAATGATAAAATAACTAGTTGAGTAAATCCAATATATAGGTATCTTAATAAGGAACCTTTCAAGATGAGGCTGAAAGAAGATCTGAAGTGGCTCAATCTATTTGGATTAATTTTCTTGAACCTAATTAACAAATCGAGAATTTGCTTAATGAAAATAAGAATAACGACCAAAAGGTAGCCAAAAAAAACAAAGAATGTAAAGCCTGTAGCCACGATTGAAGTGGGTTCAATATGCGAGTTGTAACCTATTCTCTTAATACCTCTTAACACAATCAAATTGGAATTTGATTGAAGTGAAAAATCCAAAGCTCTCTTCGCGTAATTAACAATTCCATTGTTGCTAGCAATTTCATGGAGATCCCTTAAATGATTCAAAGCTCTTTGCACCAATATCTGTGATGTTGTACCTTTAAAGTACAATGTTGGTGTACCACCAGTACTTTGAACATACCATCTGAAAATATCTTGCATGAATTGGATTCTAATTAATCCCATGGACCAAGCAAGGTTTTCTGCCCAAGCTGACGCAATTGGAGGAACTCTTTCAACATGCTGCATGGACACAACAACAACAGATTGAAAGTACAAGAACAAAGAAACCGAGTTCGCAGATATATGAGTTGCTGCTGTAGAATTACCAAAAGTCGACAATACGGCGGCGATCAACAATCCCAACCCCGCAATAACAGCTGTAGCCCATTTGGCACCCGTTTGTTCGATAGTCTTCCCATTGGTGAAACTAGCTTGCATACATGATAATTGCTTTCCGCCATCCTGGTCTCTCACGATAACCTTCACCACTGCGTCGATGTCTGGGACATTGTACGCTATGCCCGGGATCTCCTTTACATAATCCTCGCTAATGTACTCGACACTTTCAACTTGCATAGATCCAGGGTAAATAGGACAGAACTGTTTCCATCCCAATGAACACAAATCTACGTTCTTCTCGATAATTAAAAACCCGTACGCATACACCTGGACGAAAGCATCCACTTTCGCATTGATTTCCGTCGTTAAATCAATACTGTATTTCAACGACCTGTCGTCTGGATCGAACGTCACATTGAAGTACGTTGGCGAAATCTGCGATTTATCCATACATGTCACCAACGAAGTGGCCGAAAGCGACCTTTTCCCCATAACACCCATCATCTGCCAGAACCACATCAATAGTATAAACACCTTGGAAAAAATCTTCATCTTAGTCTAATCTAATATACCTTAACCTTCTAATAACGTATTGATAGTATTTTCCAGAAATCTTCACCTTCAGCTGTTAATTATCTTGATCTTTTAATTTGCTCCTTTTTTTCACTTGATCTACTTCCTCGGGGATAGTATAAACAACTAGAAATTCCTGTTTAAAGCGAACGCTCAATAAATCGATTATCAAATAAGGTATTCGGAACACTTATGTACTTAATACCCTGAGATCAAAAGCTTGAACAATTTTTCCAATAGTTAAACCCTGAAAAGACTACTTATCCGATAAAATCAACAAGGACCAAAGTTTTTTATTAAATTTTACCAGGTTATGAGAAATGCCACGTCCTAAATTTATCAACGGATTTTCGAAGGGGCGGTGATTACCACAATAACGCGCTCGTGTATATATAGGTCAAATGGCTAAGCATAATATTACGAAGCATGATAAATAGAAAGTTACGAACGAACAACCGTATTTAATATTTTGTAGGGGTTATATATAGAATTGCATACACCAGGTATCAGTAGAGTTACATATTTGGTATGGAAAGGGCAAGCATGGGAAAAGAAACTAGCAGAAAAGGTACGCGATCCCTATCTATACCGGGGTTCATCAATGAAGAATCAAATGCGAGAATGATGAGAAAACATAATGTAGTGACATGTGTTCGTACATATGAAATCACAACATAATTGAAAAACAAAATGTACATAATAATAACAAGTAGACTAATTTATGCTAATATATACGGTGTGTAGGGACGGGAGGTCGGATAGAGCAGCTGAAAGCAAATTACAAGTGGTACTCAACCATTCTTGCTTGCTCTACTTTGACTAATAAAGCATCACCCCATACAGCCTTGATAACATCCCAGAATTCACGGGCGTAGTGGATAGTGATTCCGTACTTATCGAACCAGAATTTCTCTGGTTCGCATCTTTTAAAGTTATATTTGTTTTCGTTGTCGAGCAATAAGTCATTCAATTGGTTAAAATCATTAGTGGACCTGCAGTATTCCTCGATCAAGTCCTTACGGTTTTCTCTTGGGACTATGACACGCTTAATACCGTTCAAATGAGCACCCAATATTTTTTCTTTGATACCACCGATAGGCAACACCAAGCCTCGCAATGTGATTTCGCCGGTCATAGCTACGTCCAAAGGAACGGGTTTTTCCAAAATCAACGACAAAAACAGTAAGGCCATGGTAATCCCCGCCGATGGACCATCTTTTTGGATTGAACCCAGTGGCACATGCAAGTGTATCTCCATGTTGTTGATCTTGTCGATTTGGTTTTCACTGAGATTTCTGTCACTCAAATTCAACAAGTTTTTGTAGATTATCAGCTTGATAAACGTCAAACCGATTTTTGCACTTTCCATCAACACATCCCCTAATCTACCGGTCATATTAAGGGACGATGAGCCCGATTTTCCCTCATGGTTGAATCCTATACTTTCGAATACCAATACAGATCCTGATCCATCACTATTGTACGACAACCCGTTCACAACCCCACATTTCGCCGACTCGATTGGTGATTCGAATAATTCGGTAGATAAATTGGCAAAAGGTAAACCCAAATACTTAGGTAAGTCTTCAATTTCAACCTTAGGTTGATACTCGCTCAACTTCTCCAAACTTTGTGAGTATTCGACTGCCTTGAATCTGCAGATTCTTCCTAAGCTTCTCTCCAAATTTCTTACCCCCGCTTCTCTTGTATAATCAAGAATAACTTTCCGCATAACTGACTTATCAACGTCTATCAAATCAGCCTTAGGGATACCATTTCTTTTTATTTGTCTTGGTAAAAGATAACGTTCTCCAATAACCAACTTCTCGTCATAATCATATGCCCCTACCTCAATCATTTCTAATCTGTCTAATAAAGGCCTAGATAAATTGGATGCTTCATTCGCAGTACAAATAAACATAACTTGAGACAAATCAACTGGGAATCCTAAATAATGATCAATAAACGATGTATTCTGTTCGGGATCCAATACTTCTAATAAAGCAGCCGATGGATCTCCATTAAATTTATTAACTCCATTGTTACCACCAATAATCTTGTCAATTTCATCTAATAGAATAACTGGATTCATAGATCTTGACTTCCTTAAAGATTGAATAATGACCCCAGGCATTGCACCAACATATGTACGTCTATGGCCTCTAATTTCAGATTCATCCTTAATACCTCCTAAGGAAACTCTCTGGAAATTACGGCCCAATGATTTCGCGATAGATTTGGCTAATGATGTTTTACCAGTTCCTGGAGGTCCCACTAACATTATAATTGGAGACTTATTATTTTTCGAAACCATAAGAGACTTATCTAATGAACTTTTCTCAATTGTTGTTAAAGACTTAGACTTCTTATTTTTACTTCTTGCTGTTTCATGGGCAACTGATGTCTCATCGTTATTGGCAATAATTATTGAATCATCAGATCTGGTAAAGGTTTTCTCACTCCGTTCCTTATCATTCTTACCCGTAGTTCCAGAAGACGATTCATTTTTCTTTGATCTTTTGGAATTCTCTGATTCTATCTTTTCGAATTCCTTCTCTGCATTAATTCCCAAAAGCTTCAATACTACCAAATATTGAATGAGTCTTGTCTTCACATGTTGTAATCCATAATGGTCACTATCTAATTGCTTCTTAGCGAATTCTAAATCAATATCCTTGTTAGATTTAAACCTTGTAACATATTTATCCCAAGGAATGTCAGCAACAATTTCCAAATAATTACGAATTACATGGAAATCTGAGTTCCCTGGTGGAGATGATTTAATTCTTTTGAAGTCCTTTACAATAAGCCTCTTTGTATCGGATGATAAAGTGCTAATATTTGGCAATTTGCCTTTAATAAAACTAGTAATAGCTTTTAATTCATCCTCATCATCATCATCCTCATCATCATCGTATTCATCGTTACTTTCGTTTCCATCATCACTCATTGGCAGTTTAGCAGGCTTGTTGTTGTTACCACGACGAACTAGCTGGCGGGGCGGACTTTGATTTGTTTTAGAATCCTTACCAGGTTTATTAGTCATTCCTTCTAAGATTAATCTAATCGACTTTAATTGACTTGCAACCACATTAGCCCTTTGAATATTTGTTGCTTCATTATAGAACCAGTGGTTAATAATTTTATTATTCTCCTTCAAATTATGGAATACTTGAATCATAGATTCAAGCATCCTATTAACTTCATTAATTCTATCACTAGCATTAAACTTGTTCAACAACTTCAATTTCTCATGGTTTGGAAATGGGATAATTGCACAGGTTAAATCAATTAACCTTAAGAATGTCTTATTGTCGATTTTTGTATTCGACGAGGAATTAAAAGTCCCAAATAATTTTTGTAAACTAATGTAAGCTTTCGTAAAATCTTTTGAAGCGGCTAAATGTAAATAAAGCGAGTTGGCCAAAGGATTTAATGTCAATAAATCACCCTTCTGTTTCAAATCTTTGGATTGCTTCCCTTTCTTTGCTAATGATGCCGCGACTGTTAATGCCTGGCGATAATCAACAATAAATCCATCAATGGATTTAAACAACTTTAAGACTTTAGAATTCAAGACATCATACTGGTTGGCTACGTCATCAATTTTAGAATTCCAGTCAACATCTATCAAAACTTCATTTGATTGAGTTGGTTTAACCTTGTTGTGTTTTATACCTCTAGTTAATGCTTGCAAAGTTAGCTTAATGTTACTGGTATCGTCAACCATACCAATAACCCTTGCAATGGTAACTATATTCTCATATTCATCATCAGATGAAGTTTGTGGTTCCTTTATCTTTTCCAAGTTTGGATTTATTGCTAACACTAACCAGTCAAATTCACTCTGCGGTTCCGTTTCGTCTTTATTCGAATCATCATTCTTACCCTTGAACTGTTGTTCATATTCATAAAACTTCTTGATCCCCGTTACCGCATCCTGTGAAATTGGGGGTGGCATATATTTAGATTCAGCATCGTCTTTTTCTTCTTGCTTACTATCAAAATCATATTCGTTAAGTAGGTTAGTTATCAACGATACATTCGAAACCTGACTCTTGAACCGTGATAGTAACGTAGCTGCCTTGAATCTGGAGAATGTGACATTATAAATTATCCCCGGCAATAATACTAAATTAGAGTCCAATTTATAAGTCGGTAAAACAATTTGTTGTTTAGGATCTGTGTGATTTTGTTGGTTAGGTTTGTATCTGGCCATATTAATTATACTCTAATTATATTACTTGTTGGTATTTAAAAAGAAGATAACTTGCCACCCGTATATAATTGGCTCATATGATTATGAGGACTAAATTTTGTGGAGAGATTTTGCTGATTAGAGAAAGCCGAGGAAGCAAAATGACTCGACCCTTAGAGCACAATTTTGCAAAAATGCTAGAAAGTTTTGGCCGCAGTAATTAGATATAGTCTAACTTATATCTGTTACTCTAAACTAAGTAGCTAGCGTCGTTCTGTCTACCTGGACGGTATATTTTGCTTTATTTTCAACTAAATAATTAGACATACATTTTTACTCTACACCATTAATTTGCAAAATTTATAGATTTCAAATTTACTCTTCTACCGTAGAATATCAACATACATGATTACACTCTATGTACTTTTGAAAGTATCTAATAAAATACGATAAGAATTTAGTTCGGCTTGAAAGGAAATATTTCTCAAAGTAACTCATGCGAAGTTGACTTGGAACATTCGTTAAAGATCTATTAAGCCTGGTGGTTTACGGACCAGTAACCCACATCAGAGTATTTTATATGGGTTTATTTGAAAAGCTACTAAATAAGCTGTAAGATTCATTGAAAAAATTCGAAAAACGAATAGCTGTAGTGACCAATATTCATATTAGGTCCAACCTAGGCATCAACTCATTACAATAAAACCACAGATTAAAGTCTTCAGTAAATATATATAATCATAAGGGATAGTATTAAAATCCCTATATCTTATTATTAATATCATCATATCTGTTAATATATATATTAAATACAACAAAGATTTCTACAAGATGTCTTTCAAATTGATTTCGCCTGTACCTCTTGCTAGAGGTTGTGGTTGGTTTTCACTCTTTTTCCAGCCAATCATGAATATAACACTGAAAGTTGCAGGTAAGGTGACATTTCCCTGCTCATCAGTTTCGCCATGTAATGCTTTATAGATTTCGTTGGCTGCTAACATTACGTCCCTTGGTAAAAGGTTTGATCTCGATAATACAGAATTTTGTTCCCCCATCAGCTGTAAGTCTTTGCAAACAGAAACTATGTCCGGAAATCCACCGACTACGATATCTTCTGAATCGATTGTTAACATGCTAAATCCTGCCCTATTCAAGAGCGACCCAACATCATTCAAATGTACTAATGGTGATACTCTTGGAGATATTCCGCCCTTTCTTTCCAATTCTGCCAATTGCAATGACGTTCTCAATTCGTATAACGTATCACCACCGAATAAAGTACCCATGAATAATCCATCTGGTTTTAATACACGGTTTATATTTGCCAAAGTGGCCGGTAAATCATTAATCCAATGCAAAGATAAATTTGAAATGACCGCATCATACTGATTTGATTCCTGTAAGCATTCGTGATCGAATGCTTCTTCATCTCCTACATTACGAATAAGCTTTCCATTAAATTCAGTATTGAACGCTTGTTCAATATCCCTATTAAGAATCTCTTTGGATGAATCAAGCATGACTAATTCCTTGATTTTGGACCTTATAGTCTTTTTATCGTTATTAAGCTGTTTACAGATTTCCATATCAGCAGAATCTGCTGCTTCGGGTACCTTCGATTCCTCAAATAAGTTCTTTAATAAATTACCCAGATGTGACCCAAAATCCAATAATCTATCAAAGTCTCTTGTAATAAATGCCAATCTCTCTATAGTCCTAATTGCTACCTCATCTCTTAAATACTCTACTTTACGAGATTCTTGTGGATTAAGACTGGGTGTTCTTGATCTTTGTATTAATTTTGCAGATCTGTCAAATACATTAAATTGCTGCTTCTGTCTAGCTGCATTCTCCGATGCTGATGTCGCTAATAGACGCTTGTTGGTTAACGATTTAAACATTCTAGAGCTTGGAGACAACAGAAGCGGAATATTTTGCGTTTTGCTTTATTCATAAATCTTTTTCGATGCTCACTATCTGAGATCTTCATCACAAAGTTATATCATTACCCATTCATTCCTAATTGGTGAACTAGAGTTGTATTATGCTACGGTATATATCAAGCACTCCCATTATAAGAAGAGGTATACGACATTCTTTCAAATGTTCATTGGTATTATCATTTAGATCTATACATAATTCAAGTATAAATATACCTCAGTTTTCTGTCGATGACTTTTTACTAAATGAAAGTTCTCTTGCTCAGAATCAGTCCCATGCACCAGATAAAGAGAACCTAATTTCAACAGAGACTTTCATTCTGCAGTTTAATTCTAAAACCAAGATCAAAGCGATTGAGAACCAAGTTGAACAATTAATAGAAGAGAAGAGTTTCAAGACTATATGGCAGATTGCAAACCTTGTGAAGGAATACCAAATATGTCCTTCAAATAAACTATATATACTATTATTAAAAGTTTGTTATTTGATAAATAAACCTGAAGCTACAAGCCTTGCAACAAGATTATATTATGAAGTAATGATACTACATGAATTTGAGAAACGAGAACAAAAGATAACTCAAGATGTTCATAATGGTTTAGCATACTTTCTACTTGTATCTTTTCAATGTTGTAATGACTTTACAGAATTAATAACTTTGAAATTGTTATGGGAAAATTACATTATCAATAAAGTTGATAAACCAATTTATGAGTTGTTATACCATTCGGCATATATTAATACTTTTCTTAATACAACTCAAAATCAGATCGCTATTGATCATTTTGAAAAAACCTTTGAAGAGCTAACTCAATTGGATACAGTAGGAAATTATCATCAATTTGATAGATACGATTTGCTTCTGAATTTACCAACTATCCGAATTCTTGATATAATGGCATCTAACAAAGATTGTGAAAGATTGCAAAAGTGGCTTTTGATAATACACGATGAACAACAAATAAAGCTCAAGAATGAAAGTAATGATTGTAAAATAATCCTTAATGAAAATAATTGGCTAAGATATCTAAATGTTGGTCTTATAAATAATAGTTACGACTTGGTCAAGGGCATATACGATAATTTTATTATGAGTGGTTTCAGTGATGGTATTTCGACGGAAGATGTACTATTTCGAAAAGACCCCACGATATCTAGTTCAATTTCTGGGAACGTTGTATTGGATTCCATCAATGACGAAACAATTTTTCAAATTCTTCATACATTTGCAATTAACGGTGATGTAAACCTGACGCTTGCTTTAATCGAGTCTCATTATATTCACAAGACAATGAAAGGAGAAAAAGCGTTAACAAAAGATCTATGTCTCAAGATTATTGAATCATACTGCTATCATCCTGATTTACAAAATAATTGGAATGAGGAGGAAATAATAATATCGAAGAAGTCTAATGACGAAAGTGTTAGGAGAGTTTTAGATGTATTGAACAGTTTTGTCGTTAAGTTTGATACAGATAAGAACAATAATATCAGTTACCGTGACATAACCGATGCTATGTCGTTTAAATTTGTTAATTATAAGGTTTATGATAAAAATATAAGAAAAGCAAGACATAAAGAATTTGAAATATCTGAAAAGATTAGGAATCCAGACGATATTGATAAGGTGCCCGGATTGCCAAGAAAGATTTCCAATAAAAATATTGAAAGCTCTTTTCAAGGGAATATACTAGCAAATCTTGAGACTTTGTCAAGATTTATCGTGGACCATCTAGAATATTTGCGTGAGAAGAATTATTCTAAATCAACAATAATTTTATTCATCAATTGCATTTTAAACCATACCAATCTATATCAGAATTTTTCAGGAACAGTAAAAACATTATCAACTATACATAAGGTGTATCCAAATATGGTCACTGATTACCTAAACGATGATCTGATAAATATCATACTAAACTCATTAGCAAATTCTAATTCAGCTAAAATCTCATCATTCCTTTTATTTAAATACTTTCATAATAAGAAAAAAGTAACTCACGACCATTATAGATGTTTCATATCTGCAATATTGAGAGGAAATTTCCATGATTGTTTACAATTTTTTCTTTATAATTACTTGGTAGACTATGGTGGTATAATAGATTCAAAGATCATGCAAATGCTTCAGGACTTACCTTCAGAGGTTATCCAATCCAGTGCAAGCACTTCGGCTTTGTTACCATTCATAAAAGATAAAACTAAAATCAAATCAAACCAACAAGTTTCGAATTATCCAGTGATTTCACTTCATGAAATTAATGACTTTTGGAAACTTAAGAAACTCTGTTATCAGGAACCATATGTTGGGGACGCAAACAGCATAGAATTTAAGAGAATGTATAACCATTCCTTTGATGTACGAGATGCCCATTATTTGTCTTACATATTTCAATTGCCAGTCAGTGATAGAGTCTCACTACAGTAAATATTTTATAGACTTTTCTTATTATATGCTAATTATCATAAACGTAAATACACCTAGTCAGCTTGGACAGCTTGCTGTAATTCATCGGCATTAATATCAATTATTTTAGCCTTCATTCTATTTAATCCGCTATTCCACCTTGACTTCATACTTTCTATTAAACTCTTATCAGCTTCATCGTCGAAGAAGTCGTTATACCTTTTTCTAGACTGCAACCCAAGTATAGAATCATTCCCTCCGAATGTATTGTTGAATGTGGGAGAAAAACTTTCATTATATGAAGAGCCTAACATTGTTGAATCCACGGCCATACGCATAATGTTCCCTGCATGACATGCTAAATGATCATAATCAGATCCCATTTCCATACTTTCTTCTTCCGGATCATCATGTCTTATGATACTTGTTTTTTCAACTGTGGATTTAATAGGTAAGTTAAGCAATTCAGCTTTATCCATCTTGACAGCTTTCAGCTTAGCAAGAAGAATAGTGGATTTCTTACCTGATGCTTCTCCAATATCTGACACAGGAGTAGATTGAAGTAGATTTGTTGAATTCTTCTTTTTTGACGAAGCAGAAGATGAAAAGAAGATTGTCTTATTAGGTATTGGAGTCTTGTAAATAGATGATGGTTGAGTCTGAAGATTATTAGTTGCATTAACATTTTCTTCTATTGTTTGTCTTGGCCTTTTAATACCTCTATTTTTAGATTCCGACTCATTTGGTTTAGAGTTGATTTTTGAATTCGTAGTACTATCTCTTGTAAATGGAAGTTCCAATTGATAATTCTTTATGTTTTCTTGATTCTCTGCCAATATTTCGTATAAAGGACTGTCATTAATTCCATTATTGGATACGGTATCATAGCACTTCGTAATAGGAGACTTCGAATAATATGGCTCTTTCGCATGTGGCAACATGTCCAATCGTAAATTTTTATTTAAAACTGCATCACTTGGTAAGTGCTTAGCAAAGTCTATATCAGACTCATCTGTTGAAGGAAAGTTGTATGCAAGATTTACAGAAGTATGAACATTGAATTTTACTGACATAGTTTGTTATTCTTTAATATTTGAAAGCAATTTATGATGAAGAAAAAAATTAATAGCAGCAAAAAGGGCAAATGCAAATGTATATATAAAGTTAAGTTGTTCCTTTTACCGTAAGAGTTAACATAGAAGATCAATTATTCCCTTTTACAGAATAGTAATTGTTTTTGTTTACCTTTATCCTAAAAGGGTTATGCCCATTCACAGATTTGGAAATGCGACTTTGTTCACAAGTGTCGCATTTATGTCGTGTGTATGTCGTATATATATCGCATTTGAAATCCATGCGTACGACATTTAAATTCGATTAATTTAAGACCACATGATTGGTGGAATTCATAGATTTGGTATACTTCTATTTAAGAATTAAAATTATAATGTAAGTATATGTAATACCGTAGCCAACTTCATATTGAAGGCTAATATGTACAAATTGATATTAATACTGGCTGAGATACTAAAATGAAACATATGTACATGAAAACATGGCCATCAAAGTTCGTTGATCTTATGTTTAAGATGGAATATCATGTAATTATAGCTCTCCAATCAGTAATGACATCATATGCAAAAGGGACTTTCTAGATAACTAAAAAGATATCAAAGATGTTTATGCAAACTATTCGAGGTGGACACAGTGGAATCAGTTTTTGTAATTGCTCCCCGAGGCCGGTTGTAGGGCAGAAATGGTTCAAGCTTTTGGACTAATTCAGTTAGAATCACTATCTTGTCTGTATTTTTTCCTTGTCATCATTCGACTTCTTAATTATCCTCTCATCGATCACCGAATCATTTCCATGGACCGAGTCTATTGGACATGGGAGAAGCGAATTTGCTCCGACCATCAACACACATATAGCAAATGTTGAACTAAATAATGAATTCGTCATTCTATTTCTCTGTGTAGCCTTAATAGCAGAAAACATTTCTTATTGTTGATTTATTATGCGTTGTAGTGTTATTCAAGAAGTAATATATGAATTAAATCCAATAGAAAGGCTGTCTCTTGTCTGATACTCTAATTAACCCAATACCGTGGTTACTTGTAGTTACTAGTATGTAGAAGTTGATTAATTCTTTTCGACAGAGAATTATATATTTTTTTTCAGTCCAATATAAGCTCACGTGAATTCTCGTATATTGGCCAATCAGAAAGCCCGCTTATATCCCTCTTAGACTTTTTTGGGCCTATTGAACGATTGAGATTCTGTTAGAAATGGTTCAGTAACGTATCATCTATATACGTTATAATGGTGTTTGTTCTGACCTATTTATTTAGTATAAGTCAACAACAACGTGTTAGTCTAAGGTTCTTGGTCAAATAGTGTATGAATAGAGTATATTAAATATATAAACCGCGTGTTGCAAGTCACGAGCTACATAACCATCGGTTGTTGTAGATAACACGAAGAACACTACGCTGGACTCAAAAGATCTATATAAGATCTATTCATCTAACGTAGTTTGCAAGTCTGTATGTGTTGTGCTTGTTATTCAATTTCGAATATAGATGTAGGAAATTTTATCATTCAATGGTAATCTGCATATTCCGAAATTTAGTCAGAATATTGAAGTTTACTTGTATAGAGAGTCTATTCTGCTTTTGCTTCGTTCTATGCTGCCATTCAGCAGAAAATATACTCAAAAAAGCAAAAAAGAAAAAAATGGGTATTTTACCGTATATATATGCTAAGGAAATATAATGCATTATGTAGATATGGCTACTTGAAATAAAGTTGTAATCGTCTCTGTTTCGGAGGACTTAGTTGTCTCCACTAGGACTTATGAACAATCTTTTTAGTATATCAACACATATGCTCTTTGAAACTTAAGCCCATCATTAATTCCAAGCTGCAATAACGTAAAAAACGGAAGAACAATACGAATAGCGATAATATAAGTATATATTATTATAACACATACACATACATACAATGTCTATGGCACACGATACAATTAAGATTATATATAGAATGCTTATTGTTGTATATAAAGTTATTAAACCCACTATATGTACAGGAAGGACTATGTAATATGCCTCTAATTGAAAGCTTTTGGGTTGATGAAAGCTACGAATGGCGTATTCATTATACGATTAAAATCGAATGCTAATGGAATTAATTTGTTAGCAAATTAGTATCACCTAATCAAAATATTATGATAAAGGTGGTTTGAACTGAATAAGTTGTTACACCAAACTTATTGGTAAACTTTATTGAGCATGTCACCTTTTATCATTTCAAATCCAGGGTTGAACTTTCTATCAGCAGCTAACTCATCTTGTGACTTAGGCTTGTCAACTAACTCTATTTTAACTAATTCCTTGACAACGCTGATTCTATGAGCAGTAGAAGGTGACACTCTTTGATAAATTATTTGGTTTCTCCTCTTTAATCCCAAAGCTTCAATATTTTTACGGATTCTTGGATGGCATCCAATAGTTGACCTGGTCTGGGTTATCTTGTAGAACATACTCTTAGCTGCATTTGAGGATGACATCTTTGAAAGTAGAGCTAATCAATTCTTTAAGTACTGACTGTCTTAATTTTCAAATGGAAAATTTTGATTTCTGCTGCGACTTTTTATCGCGACATTTGTTGAAATGTCCCTCATAAGATCAATATCAAGAATATACAAGCTTATGATATCTTAGACACACAACGGTTGTATGAAGATCATTGAGATGCATACTTAATTATGGATGATGCATTTGAAGAGGTATTAGTTAAGAAAAGTGATGAACTTCATTCTCAAATACGATTGTTAATTGAAGAGTTAGGAGATATAATTCACTATAATGAGCTGGGTAGTCTGGCCAAAATCGAACATTCAAAAGTAATATTCTCTAGTTTACACTCGGCAATTAACGAGTTTGAGTCTTCTCCCAAGCTTTTAGATCTCAATTTATCGATTTATATTGAATCCTTGGCTGATTCTTATTTGTTTCTATATTCAATAGAAAGTGACAAGGATATAAAACATTTAAAGCAAGGAATAGCAGGCCTTATTTATGAGTTTTCCAAAATAAGAGGATTCAAATTTGTAACCAATTTCTTTTCAAGTGATGTCTACTTGATTCCAAAATTATTAGAATTAACTGAAATTACAAACTTAAGTGAAAATGAAACTTTTTTGATATTAATATGGCTTTCCAATTTAGTTCTTGTTCCATTCCCTCTTACTTTAATTCAAGAAGATTTACCAACCTTATTACTAGAGTTTGGTTTAAATTGTCTTGAAAAGCATTCCAATGCCTCCAAAAATCAATCCGTTGCGCTGATTCTAATATCTAGACTAATTTCAAGACAGGATTTAATACAACAAGGTATGCTTGATGTATATTTTAATGACACAGTTCCTTCCATTTGGAATTCTTTATCCTATAACAGTGGTTCAATTAAGTTGGGACATACTATGGTGATAAATAAATTAATGAAGAGATGCTCATTTGAAGTAATGTGTAAATATTTAGATATTATCCACAAAGAAGTTATACTAACTGACTTGGTTAATCTACGTACGCAAGAAGAATCTTGTATGAATGAATTGAATAATCTTAATGTTTTATATATCATAAAGGTATTAAACAAGTTGGCCAAATTTTATTTGCAACTGCCAGAAACTGGTAAATACTATCAGGTATCTAGCCTAGTAAACAATTTGTTTCATGATGTAATGAGTATAATGTTAGACAGGTTTGATACTAATTTAAGGTATGCAATGGCAAAGAGTTTAAGTAGTATATGTTCCCAGTTAACGCTTGGAGCAATGAATTACCAAGAACAATTGATCGAATATCTTATAGAACAATTGGAAATTCCGAACATCATGATTACTTACTCTCCATATGAAAAATCAATTAGTAATTCAAACCGATTTCATGTTGATTTAGCGATTACTTCTGATAAAATTTCTGTGCCAAAGTACCATACAGTTTTGTTATTTTTCGCATATGTATCGCTCAAGAAATCCTTACCATACCATTTAATCCTGCCGATATTAAGCATTGTGCACAAGACCTTATTTATTCAACAAAAGCGAGCAACATCGGTTTTAGGATCCCAATTACGGGATTCGTCGTGTTTTATCATATGGTCCTTATGTAGGATGATTAAGCCAGATACCTTCATTACATTACAAGGAGAAAACGAGAATATGATGGAAGTTATCTTATTTGACTTGATAAAGGTTGCAATTTTTGACTTTGATTTAACTATTCGACGATGTAGTGTGGCAGTTATCCAAGAATTTATTGGGAGATTTGGTAATAACTTGTTTGGCTCCAAATTTGTGGGGGATGCGACCTTTGGCGAACAGATGGGACTGTTCATAATTAGATTAGTTGAAATTTTCAATAACAAATCTCTTGGTTCTTTGAATCTGTCGTACTTGATGATTCATGAGCTTATACGTATTGGATTCAACCCGAACCTTTTTGTTTCTTGTCTATTGAATAACATACAAGACGATAATAATAGTTTTGAAGTGAAAAAATTGAATTCTTATCATTTGGCTAAGATCTATGGAGATGACTTGTCGAGGGAGTTTGACTTTGAATTTTTAGGAAATTTCCGGGATTCATACACGCTACAGACTTTATTATCAGTACTAACAAGAGAGATTTTAAAGACAGGTAACTCGTTATATGCATTTTCAGAACTTGCAATAATTTCTCCTGACACTTCACATCAGTTTACTTTAGAGGTAGCCAACCACTTGAAAGAAAATTTTGAATTTGATCATCACTTCGACGCAAGTGAAAAAGCAGAAGGATATATAAAGTGGATAAATTGTTGTATGATAATAAATTTCCCGATTATTGACTTCGATATGGTATGGAAAGAAATATTTGACATAGTCAGAGCCAAATATAGCACTGGCTTAGCAGAAGAGTTTCAACAATACTTCAGACTTCTCCGCAAGAGAAATGAGATAATTCCATCTGATCATTTGAAAGGATTAGGGCATATGATTAAAAATAATAACCTTATTATTGCGCAATC